CGCAGAATAGGAGGGCCTATATGTGTCTCTTTCAGAGCCTACGAAACAGGGGAGAGACGTATAGGAGTAGCTCCGAAGCTGCCTAGATGCAGCATCAATTTGGTTTCAGACTTTTAGCCTGTTGGGACCATCCCCCTCCCCCTCTCCCTGTCTCTTGCCTGTTCCTCTCCCCTCCAGGCTCTAGGGACTTGGCCCCAGCCTGATTCAGGAGTGCTGGTGACCCGGATCCTGTCTCCCAGGGGAGGCGGATCAGCGGGAGGCTGCAGGAGCAGCCGGACGTTGATGACATACAACTGAGGTGTGCTTTGAGGGCTGCCAAGTTGCATGACGTCGAGATCTCCTCTGGTATGTCTGTTATTAAGTCCAATTCCATTTTGCATTTTACTGATAATGAAATTATTCATAATGCAACTCAATTAGGAATTTCACTTGGTAATAATGATCTTGAAATTGCCAAGTCGGTTAACGACATTCTTGATTTGGAAGTTGATCGTGCGGTAGATATGATTCGTCACATTGCTGCCGCTAAACCAATGAATGACTCGGAGATTGATGCGCTTGGGGTTAGGGTTCTTGATGGCATGTGTGCCGATCTTGACTCTGCTTTACTTGAGACAGAGGAAGACTCCAATCCTGAGACGTCTCTTCATGTAGACGAGCCTTTAGTGCTAGAAGCTGAGATTGAGTGCGGTGATCAGGCTGATGGTCACATTAAGCCTAAGCGGACATGGAAACGAAAGGTTTATCCAATGTCCACAGTGCGTAGGAGTGCTCGGACCCGTACTGCCAAAAAATTTCATGATGAATTATGAGAGGCATTTTCTGGAACAGCAGAGGTCTTAGAGACTTGGCTAAAAGGAGGTTTCTAGCGGATGCTTCTCTTGAACATCATTTAGATTTTATTGCTTTGTCTGAGACTGGAAGAAGCAATTTTACTTCTCAATTTCTTGCCACTTTGTCTGGGGGGGTAGATTTTGATTGGCATTGCCTCCCCCTCGAGGAAGATCCGGTGGGGTTTTACTCGGAGTTAAGTGCGAGACGTTGGAAGTTCGGAGCGTAGTTATGGGAGAGTTCGCTGTCAAGTTTCGAGTTAGAACTAAGGCAGATGGGTTTGACTGGGCCTTGGTGGCAGTTTACGGAGCGGCGCAACCAGAACTCAAGCCAGATTTTTTGGCGGATCTGGTACGCATTTGTAGTAACGAACAACTACCTCTCTTAGTGGGAGGGGATTTCAACATTATCTGAAGAAAAGAGGATAAGAACAATGACAATTTTGACGGCCGATGGCCGTTTATGTTCAACACTATTATCGAAAGCTTGGATCTCACAGAGATTGAGCTTTCGGGTAGGAAATTCACTTGGGCTAATTCATTACCGGTTTCGACCTTTGAGAAATTTGACCGTGTGCTAGCAAGTGTCGAATGGGAACAGAAGTTTCCCTTGGTAACTGTGCAGGCTATGACTCGAGGTGTCTCGGATCATACACCGTTACTAGTCGACTCCGGCGTTCAAAATTTTGTGGGCAACAAGAGCATTTTTTCGTTTGAACTTGCCTGGTTTGAAAGAGAAGGGTTCCTTGAGTTGCTAGCTAGAGAGTGGGCTAAGGACTCGGGAGGTAGGACGCCTATCGAGCGATGGCAGTGTAAGATTCGTCATCTTCGAAGGTTCCTTCGTGGTTGGGCTAAGCACATGCATGGGATTTATAAGGTGGAGAAGGATAGAATTCTTCTACTTATTCAAAACCTTGAAGTTAAAGCAGAAACCTCTATCTTGGATTCCAATGAGCTGGAAACAAAGATAGAAGCGGAGCTGCAACTTAAACAGCTTCTTCGTGAGGAGGAATTGAAGTGGGCGTTGCGAGCTAAGGTTCGCAAAATCGTAGAAGGCGAGGATAACACTCAATTCTTTCATTTGATTGCTAATGGGAAGCATCGTAAAAAGAGAATTTTCCAACTAGAACAAGATGAGGGGACGATAGTTGGTCAGGATAACCTGAAAGTTTACATTACCAATTATTATAAGCAGTTGTTTGGTCCCCCGGTAGAGACTTTTGTGTCGTTGGATGAGTCGAGGGTTGAGGATGTGCCTCAACTTGAGACTGCCGAGAATGAGCTCCTGACTGCTCCATTCTCGGAGCAAGAGGTGTTTGAGGCTATTGCTCATATGGAGAATAATAAGGCTCCAGGTCCGGATGGGTTTCCGGCGAAGTTCTACAAGAAGTGTTGGCATTTTATCAAGGGAGATTTGATGCCCATGTTTCAGGAGTTTTTTGAGGGGCAGCTTCAATTGTTTAAGCTGAATTTTGGGACAATAACCCTTCTTCCTAAGAAGACAGAGGCTGTTCGCATTGAGAAGTTCAGACCTATATGTCTGCTTAATGTGAGTTTCAAGATCTTCACCAAGGTCGGGACAAATAGACTTATGCAGATTGCACACTTAGTAGTTCAGTCGTCCTAGACTGCTTTCATGCCTGATAGAAACATCCTGGAAGGGGTTGTTGTCTTGCATGAAACGCTCCATGAAATCCACTCCAAAAAACTTGATGGCGTAGTTTTTAAAGTGGATTTTGAAAAAAGCATATGATAAAGTCAAATGACCTTTCCTTCAACAAGCTTTGCGTATGAAAGGTTTTGATCCGGCCTGGAGAAACCAGATTGATTCCTTTACGCAAAAAGAGAGTGTCGGGATTAAGGTGAATGATGACGCGGGTCACTATTTCCAGACACACAAGGGGCTACGCCAAGGAGACCCTATGTCACCAATCATGTTTAACATAGTGGCTGATATGCTCACTATTTTAATAGGTC